GAATGGCGTAAACCCGGGAGGCGGAGCTTGCAGTGAGCTGAGATCTGGCCACTGCACTCCAGCCTGGGTGACAGAGCGAGACTCCGTCTCAAAAAAAAAAATAAAAAATAAAAAATAAAATAAAATAAAATAAAAAAATAATGTTTTAGCTGAGCGCGGTGGCCCACGCCTGTAATAATCCCAGCATTTTTGGAGGCTGAGACAGTGAGGCACATCACTTGAGGTCAGGAGTTCGAGACCGGCCTGGGCAACATGGCAAAACCCCATCTCTACTAAAAATACAAAAATTAGCCAAGCATGATGGCGGGTGTCTGTAATCCCAGCTACTCGGGGAGCTGAGGCAGGAGAATCACTTGAACCTGGGAGGTGGAGGTTGCAGTGAGCCTAGATCATGCCATTGCATTCTAGCCTGGGTGACTGAGCGAGACTCCATCTCAAAAATAATAATAATGTTTTAATTTTCCGAGATAAATACAATGGGTCATATCTAGTGGACACGAAGTATTTGTTCCGTGAATGAATAGAGCCACACATAAAAACATCTCAAACACTCAGCAGATACTTTTTGCCTAACTGACCCTTGCCCAAGGGATACCAAGATTAATAAGCACAGTCTTGCTTTCAAGAGCATTCAATACTTACTGTTTCATGTGTCTACTGATTACTGAAGTGGTTTTTGTAACATACATTTAGGAGTTCCAACCTGGACAACATATTGAGACTTTGTCTCTACTATAAATAAAAAAATTAACTGGGTTTGATGGCACATTCCTGGAGTCCCAGCTATCCTTATAGTCCCAGCTGCTCAGGAGGCTGAGTCAGGAGGATCGCTTGAGCCCAGGAGGTTGAGTGATAGAGCAAGACCCTGTCTCAAAAAAGGAAAAGAAAAAAAACACGTTTAGGAGTTATGTTTCAGCCTTGTAATTTGTCTTATATTCTGACTCCTCCCTCAACCATAGTTTTATAACTTATAAAACGAAGAAAGTAGACTGGATGACCTAGACAGCTTAACATTGTTGATTATTTTTAGATTTTTCAGCTCCTTTTTTTTTTTTTTTTGAGACGGAGTCATGCTCTGTTGCCCAGGCTGGAGAGCAGTGGTGTGATCTTGGCTCACTGCACCCTCCACCTCTCGGGTTTAAGTGATTCTCCTACCTCAGCCTCCCGAGTAGCTGGGATTACAGGCACCCGCCACCATGCCTGGCTAATTTTTGTATTTTTAGTAGAGTTGGGGTTTCGCCGTGTTGGCCAGGCTGGTCTCGAACTCAGGCTGGTGACCTCAGGTGATCTGCCCACCTCGGCCTCCCAGAGTGCTGGGATTACAGGCATGAGCCACCGTGCCCAGTCAACCCATTCTTTATGCCTTTTCCTGACACATTTCTCCCTCTAGGGAGCAAATCTCTTACACTCCTCTGTTGCCAAAGCATTTTATTTATATTTTTATTATGTTATTTATAATGAGGGTATTTACTTTATGTGTCTGCCTCCCTGCCTCCCCTTTTTGAGTTCTGTGAGGATCTGGATTGTATTAAAATAATGTTTTGGCCGGGCGCGGTGGCTCAAGCTTGTAATCCCAGCACTTTGGGAGGCCGAGACGGGCGGATCACGAGGTCAGGAGATCGAGACCATCCTGGCTAACACGGTGAAACGCCGTCTCTACTAAAACATACAAAAAACTAGCCGGGCGAGGTGGCGGGTGCCTGTAGTCCCAGCTATGTGGGAGGCTGAGACAGGAGAATGGCATGAACCTGGGAGGCGGAGCTTGCAGTGAGCTGAGATCCGGCCACTGCACTCTAGCCTGGGTGACAAAGCGAGACTCCGTCTCAAAAAAAAAAAAAAAGTATTCTTGGAAATCACATTTTCTTGTAGTGTAACCTGTAAGGAACAGTGCATACATATATATAATTTATATCTTCCTAATTTAGGTTTTTGGGTGGTTTTTTTTGTTTGTTTTTGTTTTTGTATTTTTTGAGACAGAGTCTCGCTGTGTCACCCAGGCTGGAGTGCAATGGTGCAGTCTCGGCTCACTGCAACCTCCACCTCCCATGTTCAAGCAATTCTCTTGCCTCAGCCCCCTGAGTAGCTGGGACTATAGATGTGCACCACCACACCTGACTAATTTTTGTATTTTTAGTAGAGACGAGAGTTTCACCATGTTGGCCAGGGTGGTCTTGAACTCCTGACCTCAGGCGATCCACCCACCTTGGTCTCCCAGAGTGCTGGGATTACAGGCGTGAGCCACTTGTGCCCAGCCCATAATTTAGGTTTTTGAGGGTAAGTGTGAACACAAACTTAGAATGAACCACACTCCACTAGAATCAAAACCAAATTAAATTAAAGCACTTTTAAAGGGAACTTCCATTTTAAGTTGAACTGAACTTATCCTCTTGAATTTATTTTATTTTATTTTTTTTCGAGATGGAGTTTCGCTCTTGTTACAATCTCAGCTTGCTGCAACCTCCACCTCCTGAGTTCAAGTGATTCTCCTGCCTCAGCCTCCCAAGTAGCTGGGATTACAGGTGCTCGCCACCATGCCCGCCTACTTTTTATATTTTTAGTAGAGACGGGATTTCAGCATGTTGGCCAGGCTGGTCTTGAACTCCTGACCTCAAGTAATCCACCCACCTTGGCCTCCCACTGTGATGGGATTACAGGCGTGAGCCACCGTGCCTGGCCCTTCTTGAATTATTGAAGTTGAACACCTGCCGGGCGTGGTGGCTCATGCCTGTGATCCCAGCACTTTGGGAGGCCAAGGCCGGTGGATCATGAGGTCAGGAGATCGAGACCATCCTGGCTAACGCAGTGAAACCCCGTCTCTACTAAAAATACAAAAAATTAGCTGGGTATGATGGTGGGTGCCTGTAGTCCCAGCTACTCTGGAGGCTGAGGCAGAAGAATGGTGTGAACCCGGGAGGCGGAGCTTGTAGTGAGCCGAGATTGCGCCAGCACTCCAGCCTGGGCAACAGAGTGAGACTCCGTCTCAAAAAAAAAAGAAAGAAAAAAGTTTAACACAACTAGAACACGATTATATTCCCTAAATGGGGAAAAAAAGTATTCTTCAAATTGATTCAAGCAAGCATTTAATTTAATTTGGACCCATAGACAATTCACATATCTAGCTGTTTGCTCATTACTTAGTTCCAGTAAAAATGTTTCACAGCATACCAGATTGTAGGATAATGCTTAGTAAAGGGTCTTTTTACTTGTCAGCAACTTGAGATGTTGCCAATAGGTAAAAATCTGATGGCGGCGGATCTGTGGCATATGTGGTCTTATGTTAGAATTTCTCTAACACTTTACCTCATTCTTTGCCCAGACAGTTATTAGTGTTAAATCCAATAGAAGGAAAATTGATTCAGCCTGTAGTTTTCCCACCATTCCTTTGAACTTGTTTGCATTGTTTGTGGATAAGCCGTATGCGTGTGACTCATAACTTGCTTGTTTTGCTTTCATGTTTTATAACACCTTTGCTGCACCAGGCGTGTTTTACTACCCCAAGGAAGTCTAAAAATGATCAGAAGCTTTTTTTCCCTGCCCTGTAGGCACAGTAGCTTTGAGGATCTGCCCTGACTCCAGGTTGCACAATGTGAGTAGGCCTCTCACTGACTGTGGTCCGTAGCCTGAGGGCCCTGTGAGTCACCACATCCTGGCTGTCATTTCAGGTGAACCACTGTCTACCAGAGAAGATTGTGGTATACCGTGATGGAGTGTCTGATGGCCAACTGAAGACAGTTGCCAACTATGAGATTCCTCAACTACAGAAGTGTTTTGAGGCTTTTGAGAATTATCAGCCCAAGATGGTGGTGTTTGTAGTTCAGAAGAAAATCAGTACTAATCTATATCTGGCTGCTCCTCAGCACTTTGTGACTCCTACTCCTGGAACTGTGGTAGATCATACAATAACAAGCTGTGAGTGGTAAGTGAGTAAAATATGTAGTATTGGAGGAAGAATAAGTTGGAGATGTTATCACTTTCCTGAGTATTGGAATGGGGAGGTTTCCTGGAGAGGTGTGGACTAGAATCTCAGAGATGCTACCATTAAAAGAATGAAGCTTTAAAAAATATTTAAGGGCCTGGCACGGTGGCTCACACCAGTAATCCCAACACTTTGGGAGGCCGAGGCTGGTAGATCACCTGAGGTCAGGAGTTCAAGACCAGCCTGGCCAACATGGCAAAACCCTGTCTACTAAAAATACAAAAATTAACCATGTGTGATGGTGTGTGCCTGTAATCCCAGCTACTCAGGAGATTGAGACAGGAGAATCACTTGAACCCAGGAGGCAGAGGTTGCAGTAAGCTCAGATCAGGCTACTGTAATCCAGCCTGGGCAACAGAAAGAGACTCTGTCTCAAAACAAAAAAAGATTTAAAAACAAGAAAGCTTTTACCTGTTAAGTGTAAAGTTGAGCATACATTGTTTTGTTAAGATAGTGTATGCTTAACTTCTAAAGGTAGATAAGGGAGTTTCTACCACCATTTTCTTTTTTTTTTTTTTTTTTTTTTTTTTTTTTTTGGGTGGGTTTTTTTTTTTTTTTTTTTTTTTTTTTTTTTTTTTTTTTTTTTTTTTGAGATGGAATCTCACTCTGTCACCCAGGCTGGAGTGCAGAGGCACAAACTCCGCTCACTGCAACCTCTGTCCTCCGGGTTCAAGCGATTTTTCTGCCTCAACCACCCAAGCTGGGATTACATAGGTACACGCCACCATGCCTGGCTTATTTTTGTATTTTTAGTAGAGACGGGGTTTCACCATGTTGCCCAGGCTGGTCTCAAACTCCTGACCTCATGTGATCTGCCTGCCTTAGCCTCCCAAAGTGCTGAGATTACAGGCATGAGCCACACTGTGCCCAGCCCTCTATTTCTCACTCTGTTGATTTTTTAAGTCCCTTCTTTGTGCTTCGGCATATCTGTATATCCTTGATCTAGCTCAGTCTCAACTTTTGTGTACAGTATATATACATATATGTATGTGTATATATATTAAGATTTTACTTTATCCCTTTTAACAACCCTGAGAAGGTGAGGTGATCATTTTTCTTCACTTTTCAACTGAAGAAACTGAGTCCTGAAGGTCATAGCTAAAGGAGCAGCAGAGTCAGACTCAGTCCCAAGGTCTCCTGATCCAAAATCCAGTGTACTCTCTGTTTCCTTGTCTGTCAAATGAGGGTTTCTTCCAGATCTGAGCTCCTGGGTTATCTACCTTTTAACACAGCGAGTCAGTTAGTAGTCTTTGGGAATTAACAGGAACTGGTAACTTGAGCAGAATAGAAATTGGCAAGATCCTGCAGAGTCTCAGAGGATTGATGAGAAGGTGGAGCCCCAGGCTGGAAAATGGGCATGATTCAGGCTAAGTCCTGGGGTTTCAGAAGCAGGGGCCTGAAGGGGTACTGCCACTGAAGGGTCAAACTCCACTGTTTTTCATTCCCTACTCAAGATGGAGAGCAAGGGAGGAGCAGTCTGTTGGTGTGGCTTGAGTCATCTACACATCCTTTGGTTAGTGAAGTGGTTCTCAACTGGGAGCAATTTTGTCTTCCCAGCGGGTGATATATAAAGGCATTTTTAGTTATAAGGGTAAGAGATTGCTCCTGGCATTTAGTGGATAGAGGCCAAGGATGATGTTAAATGTGGATTCTGCAGTGCACAGGACAGCCCTCTAGGATGAAGAATTATCCACCCACAAATGTCAGTAGTAGTGACAGGTTGGGAAGCCTTGGGTTGGGTTGGGGCACGTTAACTAATAGTCGCACCAGACAGGAGGAAACTCAAGTGCTATTACTGAGAAAACATGGAGTAGATGCTGGAAAGCCAAAAAACAATTTTAAAGGTACTACAGGCCAGGTGTGGTATCTCACACCTGTAATCTGAGCACTTTGGGAGGCCAAGGCAGGCATATCACTGAGTCCAGGAGTTCGAGACTAGCCTGGGCAATATGGTGAAACCTCTGTCTCTACAAAAAATACAAAAGTTAGCTAGGCATGGTGGCACACACTTATAGTCCCAGCTACTCAGGAGGCTGAGGCAGGAGGGATGGCTTGAGCCCTGGAGGTGGAGGTTGCAGTGAGCAGAGATGGTGCCACTGCACTCCAGCCTGGGCAAGAGAGTGACACCGCATCTCAAAAAAAATAAAGGTATCATAAACTGGGGCAATCTGAGACTGTGAGGATGAATTACATACTTGTAAATGTAGTGCTTGAGGCTTCTTAGGAAAGGGGGTCATTAATAAAATATTTGAAATTCTGGGCCAGAAGTGGTGGCTCATTCCTGTAATCTCAGCACTTTGGGAGGCTGAGGGAGGAGGATCACCTGAGGCCAGGAGTTTGAGACCAGCCTGGGCAACATAGTGAGACCCGTCTCTAAAATTTTTTTTTTTTTTTTTTTTTTTTTTTTTTGAGGCAGAGTCTTGCTCTGTCGCCCAGGCTGGAGTGCCGTGGTGTGATCTCGGCTGACTGCAAGCTCCACCTCCCAGGTTCACACCATTCTCCCGCCTCAGCCTCCCGAGTAGCTGGGACTACAGGTACCAGCCACAATGCCCGGCTAATTTTTTCATATGTTTAGTAGAGACAGAGCTTCACTGTGTGTTAGCCAGGATGGTCTCCATCTCCTGGTCTCATGATCCGCCCATCTCGGCCTCCCAAAGTTCTAAATGTTTTAAAATAAAATTAGGTCGGGCGCAGTAGCTCATGCTTGTAATCCCAGCACTTTGGGAGGCCAAGGTAGGTGGATGACCTGAGGTCAGGAGTTTGAGACCAGCCTGCCCAACATGGCAAAACCCCGTCTCTGCTAAGAATACAAAAATTAGCCAGGCATGGTGGTGCACACCTGTAGTCCCAGCTAGTCCCGGCTACTTGAGAGGCTGAGGACCAAGAATTGCATGAACCCGGGAGGCAGAGATTTCAGTAAGTCAAGATTGCATCACTGCACTCCAGCCTGGGCAACAGAGCGAGACTCTGTTTCAAAAAAAATTAATTGATTTAATTAACTGGCATAACGACAAGCACCTGTAGTTCCAACTACTTGACAGGCTGAGGCAGGAGAATCTCTTGAGCTTAGGAGTTTGAAGCTGCAGTGGCTATCATTGCACCACTGCAGTCTAACCTGAGCAACAGAGTGAGACCTCAATTATTTAAAAAAAAAAAAACTAAAAACAAGAAAAAATTGAAACTCAGGACTTTGTAAAGGGATTCTAAGTGCTTATTTTTTAAAAGTATTCTTGGAGGCCGGGCGCGGTGGCTCAAGCCTGTAATCCCAGCACTTTGGGAGGCCGAGACGGGCGGATCACGAGGTCAGGAGATCGAGACCATCCT